AGAGAGAGAGAGAGAGAGGTATGCATAAACACCATGCAATTTTAACACTGCAGCGTAAGCAAAATCCCGCTTTTCAACACGGTTGGGAAGTGGGTGCCACTTAAGTCGTGATACGGCAACAACGTCTTCATATATGGCCCCAACTTCCCAACCACATTTAGACTGGGCAATGCACATGTGATACGGTAATAAGAACATATAATCTGTGTGCGTGTGTGTGTGTGTGTCTGTATGTGTGTGTGAGAGAGAGAGAGAGAAATACACAGAGAGAGAGAGAGAGAGAGAGAGAGAGAGAGAGAGAGAGATGACTTCTGAAGGCTTATCACTTACGCCGGGACATGACAATGACGTACAAGGGAGGTATGCATAAACACCATGCAACATTAACACTGCAGCATAAGGAAAATTCCGCTTTTCAACACGGTTGGGAAGTGGGTGCCACTTATTTAGTGATACGCCAACAACGTCTTCATATTCGGCCCCAACTTCCCAACCGGCGTAATCACAAGCAATGCACATGTGATACGATAATAAAAATATCTCATATGTGTGTGTGTGTGTGTGTGTGTGTGTGTGTGTGTGTGTGTGAGAGAGAGAGAGAGAAAGGTATGCATAAACACCATGCAATTTTAACACTGCAGCGTAAGCAAAATCCCGCTTTTCAACACGGTTGGGAAGTCGTTGCCACTTAAGTCGTGATACGGCAACAACATCTTCATATACAGCCCCAACTTCCCAGCCACATTTAGACTGAGCAATGCACATGTGATACAGTAATAAGAATATCTAATCTGTGTGTCTGTGTGTGTGTGTGTGTGTGTGTGTGTGTGTGTGTGTGTGAGAGAGAGTGAGAGAGAGAGAGAGATGATTTCTGAAGGCTTACCACTTACGCCGGGACATGACAACGACGTGGAAGGGAGGTATGTATAAACACCATGCAACATTAACACTGCAGCATAAGGAAAATTTCGTTTTTCAACACGGTTGGGAAGTGGATGCCACTTAAGTCGTGATATGGCAACAACGTCGTCATATACGGCCCCAACTTCCCAACCACATTTAGACTCAGCAATGCACATGTGATACGGTAATAAGAATATCTAATTTGTGTGTGAGTGTGTGTGTGTGTGTGTGTGTGTGTGTGTGTGTGTGTGAGAGAGAGAGAGAGAGAGAGAGAGAATGCACATG